TTCATTCATTCATTCATTCATTCATTCAATTAATATGTTGGCCATCTCCCCCAGAGGGTGCCTCTGGGCGGTTCACAGTTAAAATAAAACCCCAAATAGTTAAAAATAGAAATATCCTCATTAATTTAGTTAAAAAGTCGAACTATATAAAAAGACCATATACATAAAAAGGCTAAAAACATTCAAGATGGTGGGGGGGGGTTAGAATCATTTACCCCACGAGCTAATTCCAATGGTGTGAGCCCCCATCTGGCCCCCAGGCCATCTGGCATAGCCAAGATTTCACATTTTGCCTGAAGGCCACGAGAGTGGGCGCACACTGCACCTTGGGTAGTAAGTTGTTTCATAGAGCGGGGGCCACGGCAGAAAAGGCGCTCTTCCTAGACCCCCCCAGTTGAAATTCCTTGACTGATGGGGTCCGCAACATGCCCCTTCTGCCAGACCGAGTGGGGTGGGCTGATATAATGGAAGCGAGATGGCTCCTCAGATAACCTGGTCCTGTGCCGTGAAGGGCTTTAAAGGTAATAACCAACACCCTGAATTGGACCTGGAAGCAAACCGGCAACCGATGCACCTCGCGTAGCAGAGGTGTTATATGGACCCCCCTGGGGTCATTCATTTTGCGCCAGCTGTAGCTTCTGGATATTCTTCAAGGGAAGCCCCATGTAGAGTGCATTGCAGTAATCCAACCAGAAGGTGATCAGGGCATGAATGACTGAGCGGAGAGCCTCCCGATCCAGGAAGGGGTATAACTGATGCACAACATGAACTTGTGCAAAGGCCTTCCTAGCTACAACTGCCACTTGCTCTTCGAGCAGGAGTTGTGTATCTAGGAGGACCCCCAGATTACGCACCAGGTCTGTCTGGGCTAGTGCAACCCCATCAAGAACCAAAGATGATAAACTTCTAGATTTTGAGGCTCCCTGTACCCACAGCCACTCCATCTTATCAGGGTTCAGTTGAAGCCTGTTGTCCCCCATCGAGGCCCTTATAGCCTTCAGGCACCGCAAAATGGTAGCCACAGCATCACTTAGGTCACCAGGGATGGAGATATATAATTGACCTGGCGCCAGATGATCTCACCCAATGGTTTCATGTAGATGTTAAGTAGGAGCAGCGAGAGCACTGAACCCCCAGGCACCCCACAAAGTAGGGGCCACGGGTTGGACCTCTCACTCCAGTTGGGATCAGCCTTGGAGAAAGGAGCCGAACCAGTACAGAACTGTGCCACCCAGCCCCAGCTCCAGCACCCAACCCAAAAGGATACCATGATCAATGGTATCGAAAGCCACTGAGAGGTCAAGAAGAGCAAGGATGGATACACTACCCCCATCCCCTTCTTGCCAGAGATCATCTAAAAGTGTGACCAATGCTGTTTCTGTGCCATAACCAGGCTTGAAACCTGACTGATAGGGGTCAAGATAATCCGTTTCCTCTAGGATCCTCTGAAGCTGTTGCATGACCACCTTTTCCACCACCTTTCCTAAGAAGGGAAGGTGGGAAACTGGGCAAAAATTGTCCAGAAGAGTGGAATCTAGTGATGGTTTCTTGAGGAGGGGGCAGACCAGGGCTTCCTTAAAAGACTTCAGGAACACCCTCTCCTGCAAGGATGAATTGACCACCGCCAGTACCCACCCAAATGTCACCTCCCTGGTGGCTTTAACAACCAGGAGGGACAAGGATCTAAAATACAAGTAGCCACGCTAACACCCCCGAGGACCATGTCCGCTTCCTCAGGTCCAACAGGATCAAACCGTACCCAGATAACTGGGTAAGTCTGCTCCCCAGGCATCTCCACTGGGCCTGCCTCATGCTTGGCTTCCAACTGAGAATGGATCTGAGTGATTTTATCCATCAGATGTTCAGCAAATTCCTCTGCATGACCCTGTAGGTGGTCCTTCGAGCCGTCCCTACCCAGGAGGGACTGGAGCTGCCGGGTGACACTCTGCGGATGCAATAAGAGTGGAGAAATAAATAAACTTGATATCCTATATATTTCAATAGCCATTGAACCAGTTGTCCTGTTTGATCTTCCCTTTTTTTCAAGAATGTACATATAACTTCCTTTTGTCTGAGTTACTACTATTGAAATTAATTAGAAGATAAGCTACCAAATTCTTAATGTAACTGGGGTCCTTTAGGTCATTAACCACTTTTCAAAAGAAGAGTAAAATAATAATTTAGCACTTTGTATGCATCGTAATTATTTCTTCCCTTCATTTTTTGGATAAGTTATATGGCTTCAAGAGTACCAGAGTAGGGTTTCTTTTCCTGTACATTCTTTTACGATAGATAGATAGATAGATAGATAGATAGATAGATAGATAGATAGATAGATAGATTGATTACAACTAACTCTAATGGCTTAATTACACTTAATTTGAATGATTAATTCTGCTCCAAGCTGGGTTTATCATGGATTTTAATAAGCTCTGACCTGGAATTCATCAGGAAGCTGTACTCTCAGTGTAAAAAGTTGCAATGCTCATTTTTTATTTGTAATGCTCTTTTGAAAACAAATCAACTTTTGGTTACTTTGCATATACTTCTATAATTATTATAAGCATTTTTTTCCCTAGCATATTACATTTGTTTTGCTTTTTTTTGGTCAGTTTTTGTCCTTCGAGCTTTCCTAAATTTTATTTCTGCAGTCACACATGCTACAGATTTCTTCTTAACACAACAAAATCTTTCTATATTTTGTAGCACTGGTGACTCACAGTTGCTCAGGATATGCTGCTCTCTATGCAAACAAAACTGAGAAGAACTTAGAAAATGATTGATGGAAGAAAATTCAGAAGCTAATTTTTTTGGGATATAGTGATGATGTCATTGTTAAAATTGTGTTAAACTACATGCCAATAGTTTCCTATTATAGTATGTTTTTGAATGTGAACCAATAAAAACTTTTTTTTTAAATTTTAAACAATAATCATACTGACATCAGAAGATCTTTATTTCCAAATTAGGGCTTTCAA